AGCATGTATCAGAAGTCCATTATATTACAAATGATGCATGCAATTAATCATAAGAAAAATAAGAAACTGGTCCTAAAGTTAAGTATCACTGTATCTCACCCTACCTGTCTGTTTTAACCCAGCAGTACACCACAGGCCAATTCTTTTCTCCAGCCAAGTCAGCTTACTTGAGGGTCTTTCCTGTACTTTCTAGCCTCCCCAATGCACTCAAAGGCCAGTTTTCCTCTACATATTCACCATAGTGCAGTCACGGAAATTTTTTACGTTCACTTAAGAGGCCTGAAATGTAAGCTACAGTCCAGACAACCTCTTTATAACCAAGTTCCATGTACACCTTCTTTACATGGATTATTAATCAAGATTGGTCAGTTTCATTTAATGACAGAGGTACACCCCTGGGCGGGGGCGGGGAAAGTGCATTATCTTTTCTATGGTCGGAATACAATTAAATTTCAGACGCACCTCTAGCATCTTTCTAGCAAAAAGAAGTCCTGCAGTGAAAGTTTTAGTAGAGTATTATTGTGTCTTAGTGTATCTGTTTTGTAATTTTATTTTATTAGAGCAGAACAACCAGTGTAATAAAATCAAGCCAAAAGAAAGTTATGTGGACAGCTCTTTTATATTTGCTTTAATGGGCTCATCTGGGGTGAGCTGAAATTCAGCGAGTTGGATGACTGAACAAAGCAAATTACATCCTGCTGATTCAAACTGATTTAATTACACTAAATCCAAAGGGCAAGACTGATGTCTTATTCATCATTCATCACATATCCTCAGTCTGTAGTTCAGGAGTGCCCCACCAACTCATGTTTATGGGCTATGGGATATTTTCTAAAGATTTCAAGATTCATGAAAAAGAAACATACATACACTGGATTCTAAAAGCACAGACACTGTCTAGCTATGTATTTTGGCATTGCCCATAGCTCAGCACATGCTAAAAATGCAGAAAACAGTAGGTTGATTTTAGAACTATAAACTAATGAAACAAGTAAGTGATTTTAGCATGTTAAAAGAGATATTTGCTTTAAATAAAAGATTTCATGGAATAGACTGGTCCCCAAGTAATTTCAGAACCCAATTCTAGAAGTGAGATTTTTTTTTAAGAACACATTTATTTCACGGCAAAGTGATAGTCAAGTGTTCAGTCGTGTCCAACTCTTTGTCACGGACTTGTCACGGACTGTGGCTTGCCAGGCTCCTCTGTCCATGGAATTCTCCACACAAGAATACTGAAGTGGGTAGCCTTTCCCTTCTTCAGGGGATCTTCCCGACCCAGGGATTGAACCTGGGTCTCCTGTATTGCAGGCAGATTCTTTGCCATCCAAGCCACCAGGGAAGACCATGAAGCAGGAGTTCCTATGATAACTGCCATGAGGTATTTCTTCATTTAATTCTAATTCAACATCAAACCTTTAGCATAATAATGAAATGACAAATGCTGCTCTAGGTATCCACCAGCAAATTTAATTGAATTGTTTGTTTTTATAAATGAAGCAAATTATAACAATTCCATAAATGTTGAGGGCAGTGAGGGCAGGTTTTAGAGCTCCATGTGTGTATATGCAATAAATCATTCCTTTGAAAACATAATTGCAGCACCACTAGAAAGGAGGGGAAAACCCAACTTTTAGGGCAATTATTTGAAAGCTCCTCAAATTAACTTGTGCACAGTTGGCTCTTTGTTACAGAGTACACTTTGTGAAAAGTTGTTTCAGGCATTAATTCACTTAGGTGAAGGAAATAATGCAATTCTAGTTATTAATCACTTTAATTTTAAATGCACTTTGTAAACTGAGAAGACATTAAACTCTAAGAACAATGTGGAACGCACAAGTAATTAGATGGTTAACAGTCTTCTTTTGAAAAACTTCAAAGTAAAGAGCTTCAAGGCTCTAGGAAAATCCAAGTGTGCATATGTAATGTGAGAAAGTTCTACCTAAGTTTAGTGGCCAATAATATCACAAAAGGAATGAAATTAAGCCCTTCGCTCAAAAGTAATGTAATAGATTATGATGAATGAAATCATATGATGTTATGAGTCAATCTCCTCTGTAGTGTAATTTTGCAGTGCCTACTCGAGGCAGCATGAAATAGAATTTTCTGTGATACTTCACTCCAGAATTCATGCCAAAAAGTACAACGCTGTTTTGCAAATATTCTCCTAAGACAAACATAAGCCAGGATTTGGCGTTACTGAACATCAGTGTGACTGAGGTGGAACCATTTGATATGCTCAGTATGAATAAAACTTGTTAAAGGTCACTCCATACCAACCAAACCAGAAAAGGAAAAGTCTAAAATCCTCAGGGAATTACTTAACGGTTTCTCCACTTTATTTTGCTAAGTGAGATGACAAATGATTACTTGCAAATTTTCACTTCTATAGTGGCATTTTTATGAACATGAACTGTTAGAACCTTGAACTAGCCAGTAGAAGGAATATATTAGATAACCATCCTTTCTTATTAAATCAAATAAACATTAATTTCTTTGACTTCTATTAGTTCTTTAAACAGATAGTATATCATATTTACATTAGTAATACTTTACAGATATATACAAAATTGGTAAAAGAGGCCATGCTGCACATAGAAACAGAGATGGCTTGGGAAATTTAATCCTGGCTGGGCCTCCTCATTGTCTTTGTGATCTTGGGCACTCTCTTTCAGTTCTAATTGGGATTAATAATGTCCAAATCCTATCCCACCCCAAGAAAATGAGTATACTCTTTATCATTTGACATTCAGAGAAATCAGGAGCATCTGACATTTCTGGAGAGTTTCTAACAAGTAGTCATGCAGACTTAGAATGGTGAGGTATAAATATGGATCCTCCTCTTTCTACAGCTTAATGGAGCAACCAGATATACCTAATCAAAGGAACACTTCAGGAAACTACATGACTAGAGTCTAAAATTTGTGTGACAGACCAGTCATTTCTTTCTTCTTATGCGCAACCTCCATCCCAGGTGACAGAATAATACTGCTATCAGAGCACTAAAATAAATTGACAGAGTCATTTAACATTACTTACTGCACAGCAAAGCCCCCCTGTAGCATCCTGGGCTAACAGCTATTAGGGATCTGCTGGATCACTCCTAAGTGCTGCAAACTCAGTACTTCCAAAAGCGTCTCATTACAACGATGGGGAATTCTAATCTACAGAAAAGGTTTGCATGTAGTTGTTATAAACATGCCTCTTTATAACTCCAGGCTATTGACTTTAGCTCTTGAAGTAATTTATAAGTCTTGCAGGACGGTCGATTAAACATTTAAAGGCATATTTCTAAGGTAGCCACTATATTTCTCCTCAGTCAACTTGGTTTACATTTCTCTTCAGTCAAACAGCTTGGTTTATATGGTAGAATATACATTTAGCCATCTATTCATTCTTCCACCCATTTAATTCAGCTTTCTATCCATACAGTATGAACTTTTAATGATATCTGAAATTCTACTGATTCTTACATAATGTTGATTAATCCGCTACTCCCACATCCCTAGCAGTACCGCAAGTTTGCAGATGTTTCTCAAAAAGCATCTTGAGCACCCTCTCCTTTGCCAACATTGTTTCATCTACAATGATGGCTTAAAATATTTGGAGGAAAACATTTTTAAAGACATGGTATATCTATGTGCATTTCAAAAGAAGATTCTTTTGAAGTCAGCAAAAGCTCTTCAAATCATAAAAGTTATACAGATACAATATTGAAGAGACAATTCACTTCAGAAAATTCTCAGATAATTGAGATATTCCTTTGACTTGAACCATTTTGATAGGGATTAACATATATACTATTAACACTACATTAATCTGCTGCTGCTGCTGCTGCTAAGTCGCTTCAATCGCATCCGACTCTGTGCGACCCCATAGACGGCAGCCCAGCAGGCTACCCCGTCCCTGGGATTCTCCAGGCAAGAACACTGGAGTGGGTTGCCATTTCCTTCTCCAATGCATGAAAGTGAAAAGTGAAAGTGAAGCCGCTCAGTCATGTCCGACTCTTCGAGACCCCATGGACTATAGCCTACCAGGCTCCTCCGTCCATGGGATTTTCCAGGCAAGAGTACTGGAGTGGGTTGTCATTGCCTTCTCTGATTAATCTGCTCTGTCCCTATAAACACATACTGGTCAAGGATAGAGAGTCTCAGATCACAAGTCAGAGGACATGTGCTGTGTTTTGATATGGATTTTGGCTCAGTAAGACTCTTGGAAGCTCTTTCTCTGTTTATTGCAAAGTACACATATTTCCATGTTACTACCACCACCTTCATCCTAGACATGTACTCAGAAATTAGGAGCACTGTCTGCACATCTCCCAAAGTAAATGAAATGAAATTTGCTGTCATATACAGGTACAATAAGCTAGGCACTGGTAAACCTGAATTATAACCTCAGATCTATTTGGCCAGAGAAAAGTCACTTAACCAGTCAGGACTTAAACGTCCTCACTCGTAAAGCACAGACACTGAACTAAAGGATTTTTGAAGGTCCCACTGCTTGTATGTTTCTATATAGATTGAACAAAAGCAATTATCCTTGAATTAAAAAATTAAAAAAAAAAAAAAGAAATCTGTTTGCTCTGATATTTAATACCTTAATAGTTTGAGTAGCCAGAAACAGTCTGATGAGAGAAAAAAGGGAACTCTGTGGCCCAATCATGTGTCAGTAAAGAAGTAATACTTCTAGGAACACGCATGTGTTCACATGTGCACACACCCACATGTGGATCGTGCACTCCATAATGTAATCCAATCTGCCATGGATTCCAACAAAGATAGATAGAGGGGGGTAAGTTCCATAAAGTTTAAATGGTAGTGATGTAATTCTAGCAACCATATACTAAACTTTTTTTTTACTAAACAGAGTGAGCAAGAGGTGATTCTCTGTGTGACCCTCACAAGCTGGGTTAATGAGCAAAACATGGCAAAACAATTCAAGTTTCTAAAAGCAAAACAACTGTTGAGCTCATACACAAATGAATTCACAGTTGATCTTACCTTGACAAAAGGTGTTGTTAACCCGTTTATAACCTTGTAGACATTCCATCATTTGATTATATCCATGATAAGCTGTAAAAAAGAAACAATTTTGTTACATGCTTAAATTCTTACAATCCTAAACTACTGTATGTGATAAGCAAAGTGATATAAAGCATCAGTGATCTTACTTCTAAGATATCAACCCAATGTATATTCATTTTCCATTGTTTTTCAGTATATCTCATGCTTTGCAACAGACATAAATCTCAATTAGTTTTCAATCTTTATGTTCATTCAAAAGCCATAAAACTATTCTATATTTTCTTCTAATTAGTGACTATTACAAAAAAATTCACTTCCTCCCCAATGATTAACTACTGGCAGTTGAATTTTCTAATAAATTCAGAGAGGGTGATTAGACATCCTGGTCTGCCTAGGACAGTCCTTGATGATACCTGTTGCTCCATCAAGGTTCATTAATAGCATTCCACTTCACTCTGAAAAATTCCCCAGTTTAGATAATAAACTATATGCTCACTTTAATTATAGGCTCACATATTCTAGTATAAATTGATTCTCTCTACCATGAAGCTGAGAACAGGTGTTAAAGGAAGCTAGGAGGTGTAAAGAGCTGCTCTGATACACTGTCTGATTCAGCATTCAGAAAACTCAACCAGTCAAATGTTGAAGCCACCAATTTACCAACAAAACCCTAGCCACTGAAATTCTGACATCCTACTGTGATGCCTGAGAGGCTTCTTGGCGTAAGTGCCAGAACCAGTTTGCTGCTGCTGAGTCGCTTCAGTCGTGTCCGACTCTGGGCGACCCTATAGACGGCAGCCCAGCAGGCTCCCCCGTCCCTGGGATTTTCCAGGCAAGAACACTGGAGTGGGTTGCCATTTCCTTCTCCAGTACATGAAAGTGAGAAGTTAAAGTGAAGTTGCTCAGTCGTGTCCGACTCTTCGCGACCCCATGGACTGCAGCCTACAAGGCTCCTCTATCCATGGGATTTGCCAGGCAAGAGTACTGGAGTGGGTTGCCATTGCCTTCTCCGGAACCAGTTTGACCTAGGTTCAAATCTTGGCTCTGCCTTTTGACAGCTCTGCCACCTTGGAAGACAAGCTTCCTGGTTCCAAATGGAATTCTGTACAATAGGAGTATTTCCAACTGTTGAGTAAGTCAGGGCTATTGCGGAGTATAGAGATACTTTATACAAAATGCCTACCATTGGGCCTGACAAAAGTATGCACAGATATCATTGTTTCCTGCAATACGGTGTTCTTTTATTAAGATAATAATGGACTGTCGTGAAAATAGGCTGAATTGGTTAAACCACTTAGAAGACCTAAACAAGCAGTGAAACAAAAAAGTTCCAAGTAAAATGGAAATTTTCCTTTGAAAAGTAAAATTATTTTGCCCCTAGCACATGGTCTTCATTCTCACCACTAAGGAATAGCGTGTAAGTATTTACTAGTCACATTCCTCTCCTCTATTACTTCCTTTCTTTGCCTTATTTCCTCTGCTAGAAAATGGTTAACGTGAGGAATCTGGAAATAGTGGGTTAAAAGTAAAAAACCAGTATGTGGGGAGTCACCCATTCAGCCCCTTGGCCACATGTCCACTCTTGTCCCATGTAACGAGGACACCCTGTAACAGGTTACCTCCAGAGATTGTGAGATCTCTCTCAGTGACTCTCAAAGGCAAAAGAGAGATTATCATCTCATTTAAAAATTAAGTTGTCTACCTCAAGGCAGAAAGCCAGACCAGATGATCTTAAAGTCTTCCTCTGTTTAGAATTCGATGCTAATTTTCTTTGAAAAAAGTTTAAAGGACAAGCAACTTGTTCATATCAAGTACATTTTTAATAGATTACAGACTCTTTAATGAAATCATTTGCAGATTTAAAATTAAGTTTTCACAGTAAGAACTGATCAACAATGAAAGGTCTTTCTGTATGTGGCTAAACAAAAAATTCAAAACATTAAATAAGAGCCACTTGAAAATTACTCTGAGTGAAAAAAAAAAAAAGCATGGAGCACAAAACCCTAGCTTCTAAAGCCAAGAAAAGTCTGCTCTCTTCCAAAACGAGTATGATTTTAAAATAAACAAAGTTTTTTAAGTGACATAGGAAGAATAGGGCTCTGAGTGTATTTCTTGGGAGTGGGCTACATGGTAGGATGGCACAAATGGAGTAAAAGTCAAGATGTCAATAGCTTACTTCATTCATAATCCATGTTGCTCTTCAACTTATATATTAGATCAACCTGTACAGACCTTATTTTCATTAGTTAAAAGTGATAGCAACTTTGTACTTTTACTTTCTACTTAAATTATTACCAACATTAAAATATAGAGCTAACAAAACCATATAAAGTATTGAATTTATCCCCAGATGATAAAATTCTAGATAGAAAATGACACAACTGTGATTCTCTTTACTCTTCACTTCTGTCCCTGTCTTGCAACTTTGGGCTTTGGAAATAAGAGGAAAGAGAAGCTAAATAAGCAAACAATACACAGAGAAGGGAAAAAATGAAAAAGAAAAATAAGAGATAAAATGAAAAAAGTACTAGAGAACATAAACTTAGCCTCAAAACCAAGCTGTAAGAATTGGACTTCTCTTTCTTCAGTCCTTAGACTCAGCAGTGGAAAACATACTAACCTTCACATTATTCTAAACTTACCCCCAAAATGATGGGGAGACATTTTTTGAAAGGCAATGCTTCTTTAACATTTTAGATATAGATTTGTTTCATGGTCCATAGGACTTCACAGCAAATGACAGAGCTGGGAGTCAAACCCAAGCCTCCCTAACTCCAAACTCCATGGTCTTGAAATCATACAAAATGTCCCCAAGATGTCCCTTTGGTCAGGCTGTCACAATAATTTTTATGTAGATAGATCTTTTAGTGGGGTGGGACCATCACACTCAATCCACTGCTGGAAATTGCATGGCTAATCATTATTGAAACCCAGAGAAAATTTAACAGGGACAATGTCTCAGTATTGAATGTTCTTGTTTATGTGGGTTTTTTTCCCCTCTATATGAGTAATTCATTAACTATCAGAAACTTCAGTGGTGTTTCCAAAATTATTTTTCTAAAGGAAGATAGGAGCAATTATCAAGGAAAAAAGTAAAATTAAATTAACTTGAAACATCAAAAGATTTAGAGAACAAGTTTGAGAGATAAGAAAGAATCATTTATGATGATGGAAGAATAGTATATAAGACAGACCAAAGGAGCAGTGATTCTTAGGGGGCAGATTCTAGATTGAATAGGTTTTAAAAGGCAGTTGAGAATACCATTCAAATCAACAGCTGTTTGTTGAGAATACCATTCAAATCAACAGATGTTTAACGAAGGATAAATAAAAATTATCCAATGGAAGCAAATGAGAAACTCCTTGCAGCATAAACTATTAAAAAATAACTATAAAAACAAAAATGATAACATAGAAAACTATCACTTGCTTTCTTGGCAAAAACATGACAAATAAGAAGAGGGAAAGCTCCACTTAAAACCAGCTACCTCTGTCTTTCTAAAAAGTACTAGGATTCAATTATCCAGAGCTAACACTATATTCAAAAACTGGGGGGAAAGTAACAGAAAGATGTAAATCTGGATTTAATCACATCAACAGGTTCTGGGAAACAAATTTTATAGACTAATCAATGCACGTAGATGTCAGTAGAGATTTATGTCTTGAAAAATGTGACAGTTTAACAGCAGAGACTAAGAGGAAAAGGGAGGAAACACTGTGTCCTTGTGACTAAGCTTCTCTTTCAAAAATCAGCAATCATTCATTTCTCTATTTTAGCTTTTCTTTTCAGTAAAATTTGAAAACCTATAGTGTAGTAAAAACTACAAGAGAAGTTGTGGATATTAATAAACATTTAAGGAATGTAACTTAACAACTGCTGATTTTTTATAGCAGCATTTAATTATCATTTCATTATCATTTTAAAAGGGATCTTATTTTTCTTTCATCTTAGAAAATAGAGCCTACTTTTAGCACATCCCCTTTTAAAAGATCTTTTCTTTAAAGTAATCCAGCTGAACAAAAGGCAACCGATAACTATGTTTGTTAAAAAACAGAAATCAGTATGAAAGCTTTCTCAGACTTGCAAGATTTCTGGAGATGCAAAGTATTGTACTACATTCAACAATTCAATGTGATTTCTTTGAAGTCTAATGTCTCACCATTAAAACAGTCGTCATAAGAAAACAGACATGCTACATTAACCTGCAAAAGAACGATGAAATGTCACTTACATGGCTTCTTGGGGCATTTCTGGCATTTGTGAAAGCCCCAGGAGGTGCCCACAGTTCCACAGCAGTCCTCCTGCTTTGAAAGGCCAGGGAGCGCTTTGCCACACTGCAATGATGAGGTGTGAAATAGGAAGGTTAATTCAACGCAGGATGCCCAGCTCCAGAGCACTGGTGTGCTTCACAGCCACATTATAAAACAGTTCCCTTGTTGTTGACACAGAACCTGGGGGGGTGTTGGGAGTGGGGGGCTCTAAAACCTCAGAAACATCCGCACACAATCAGAGGGCACTCAAGCAAACAAGCACATTTCCAAGAGCTCCTTGGCATTTTTAGTCTTCATACAACCTGTCACTGTTCTGAGCACTTTATAAAACTTAACCTTCCAATGCCTTTCTTCACATTTTCTTCCCCCTTAGTAAGAAGAAACTTAAAAGATACTTTGAACTTTTTACATTTGAATTTTAATTGTCTACTGAGATGTCCGCTGTGGACACTCAGGGAACAGAGCTGTAGGGGGAGGCATGTACAAAGACCTTGAGAATACGGCACACAGATCCCACCTACAAGAGGCCATGGGTCCTCCTGTAACACCAAGGCCTGGGCGAGACAGGGCATGACCACGGGCCGAGCCAGACCAGCCCTGGGTGAGACCAACACTCCAGACATCCATGCAGCCTGACCCCGGGAAGTCAGCCACACTGGGAAGGTTCTGGCAGGTCTAAATCAGGCCAGCAGGCAGAGGAGTCGGGCTTCAGGATCACCTGAGCGCCACAGAGATGACAAATGCAAGGATCCGTCTCATGTTCCAGTCAGCCGAGGTCAGAAGAGGCCAAGGAGAAGAATCCTGAGTCAGACCTGCTCCGTGGCACCGACCAGACTTTAGAATGACAGGCTCTGCTTTGCGCACTGCTTTCGAGGCCAGTGGTGCAGGAAGGGCCGCCCGGCTCCTCGTTCCTAACGCGCAGGCAAAGCCCAGATCTAAGGGGCCACTCTGCCTCCCTCTGCCTCAGCCTCTACAAGATTCTCCAAATGGCTTTCAGAGTCACCTGGGCTTCCTTGTGGCTCAGCTGGTAAAGAATCCACCTGCAATTAGGGAGACCTGGGTTCGATCCCTGGGTTGGGAAGATCCTCTGGAGAATGAAAAGGCTCTCCACTCCAGTATTCTGGCCTGGAGAATTCCATGGACTGTATAGTCCATGGGGTCGTCCATGGGGTCACAAAGAGTCAGACTGAGCGACTTTCACTTTCACTTTCCAGAGACAAACCTGATCACATTATTCTGAATGAAAACCTACAGCAACTCTCCCCTGTATGAAGCCTGCAACCTCCCCGATACGATACACGTGAACTTCCAGTTCTCACCTCGGACAATCTCTCTCTGTCCCCTCCCACCCCTCTCCATCCATCCTTCAGGCACACTCCAGGACGCCTTATCTTCTGTACAAACTAGCTTGTTCTTTAGTTCCTTCTGATTGTTCGCTCCTTCCTTCCTTTAACAGACCCAGAGAATCCTCACCATGAAACCTCCTGTCTCCTCAATTTCAGCGAGTTCCTCCAACCATCCCCTTTACTCCAGGATACTTTCTACACAGTTCTGCTGCCTCCGCTATGTATTTTAATCAAACACAGATGTACTTTACTTATCTTTATACCCCAATGTATAGTACAAGTTGCAAATAAACACTCAATAAACGTTAAGGGAAGGAAGGAGCAAACAATCAGAAGAAACTAAAGAACTAGTTTCAGTCCATTCAAGCAAAGCAATGGTCCTGGGGAAAACAATGGAAATTAGCAAACTAGCCCAGGCTGGTGAGCAGAACTCCGGGGGCAGAAAGTTGGGACAGGTGGTGACTCGTAGAAGAGCAGCAGAGAGCGGATACCCGTTGCCTGGCAGGCCTCCAGGGGCCACACTGCCTTCCCTCCAGGTCTACCCATGCAGTATTCCCAGCAAGGCTCTGACTGCATGTCCGACTTGTAAAACAAAACCAGAGAAGGCAGGGCTCAGCTAATGAAGTTGGAGTTACATCATAGCTTTGAAGTCCTCAGGTTTTTGTGGGTTTTCAAGATTTCAACAGGATGTCGTATTCTCTCCAAAAATAGTGTATGATGAGCAGGAGGAGGGGAGGGGGGCAGTGGGGGGAGAGAGTGAACACATGTACAAATGGAGAACCTCGGGGAGAAACAACACACACTGGCTGCATTGAGGTAGTCCCCAGACTCCCTCAGCTTAATAACAGAAGGCTTAAACCTGAAATACGAAGCACGGAAGAAGGAAGATGGAACAACGCTCCAGGCATGAAGACTGGAAGCAAAATGATATGTGAAGAACACAGAGGTCTCCACGGTTGCAATCAGCTGCCAAAGCGTGCTTGTGGTTTACTTCCAGTATGATCAGTCAGATTTATGTCAGACACCAGTGCATATCACATGCAGACCATTCTCGTCCCAGCCCCTCTGGGTTCTTCTCTTCATCAAGCAAAACTCTCAACACTTGCCGATTTTATATGCTCCAAATGCTGGTAGCAGTTAAAATCCAATTTTCACCTTGGATTCCTAGAATGTTTGATTTGGGAGGGCAAAAATAAATCATTTCTCCCGACTGGGCCTCAAAAAAAAGGTACAAGGTTTTCATTACAGGATTCAGGCTGCTTTATCCTACGGCTTTGTTTTCGCGGGTCCACAGCCAAGAGCAGCACAAGCCATCCAAGTCGATTAAATAAATGCAGGGTAGGTGGTACCACAGCGCTGTGTGTTCCTCTCAAAACTGGGTCTGCACCGCACGAGGACAGACTGCAAGGGATAAAGTCAGGTTTGCAGCAAGGCAAAGGGCGCCCCTCTAGTTAGTTAACTATGCAGAGATTTCAAAGTGCAGCAAGAAACTCCACCTGAGATCTTTGCAGCCAGATGCAGGGCTTTCGCTCATACAAGAGATTCCGCAGCACCTGATATTACCTGGATGCTGGAAGCATCTAGAACAGAAGAAGGTAGAGGAAGGATCTCCCCTCCATACCAAAAGTCCACACAGGAGACAATGACATTGAAAAGGACATTAGAATCTTGAATGCCCTCCTGTCAGCCTGGAAGATTCTACTTCTCAATAAGACATAATCACATGGACATAGGCTGATGCTACTGAGATACATTTTTATTCCCAGATTAAAGTGATTTTTTACAAGTTAAAAATACAAATGGAATTTCTCTTGTGTGAATCACTCACCACATTTTCAGAGAAAGACTGTCTCTCATTTCAAGGCATATCTTATTAGAAATCCAGGAGAAATGTGCTAATCACATAACCCAATATTTAGTTATTTCAAGCCAGAAAGGAAAACCTATGCTGTCCATTGAGCAATGTGATAAAGCTCAAAAAGTTCACACAACTCCGGGCTGCACATTAGGGGACTCTTGGACCCCACACGTCCAGGCTAGGATTCAGCAAATGCATGGCCTACCTAGAGTGGTCCAAACAGAACAATAAAGGTTCAGGCTACCAGGTTCAATGACTATCAGCTGAAGAAAGTAGAGATAATAAGACAGACAGCAGAGTTCAGACATGTTCAACAAACATGTTTAACATGTTCAAGTTGTTGCTTGAAGTTATCTGCATGGTGAAGGTATTAGCAGGACTACAGGCTCCAGATCACAAGAAAAGAAGATTCCACTCAAAGCAGGAGACCTTTACAACAGCAAATGATCCTCAACAATGGAAGAGGTCAACATCTTCACTGATGCTAAAGGATCATCTTGTGGGAATGCCCAGGGTGAGCAGCAGATGTCTCTTAGGGTTTCTGTCAGATCTAGGGTTCCATGCTCAATATACACTGATAGGTTGCATTACTGACAAAGGAAATACTAGAGCCAACCCCAAGTACTTGTGTTGCGGAGAGCAGGAAATGTCTCTAACAGGACAGTGTCTGGGCAGATACACTCCTACCCAGCTTCTATGCTTTACCTTGTCCCTCAAATCAACACCACCAGGGATGCTCATACCAGTCTGAGCTTACTCCTACAGGACCTATGCACACTAGACAGAAAAAGAGGAAAACAGAACTCCTCTCAGCACTAACCACCATGATTCCTAGAAGACTGGCTGCATGAAAATAACTCATCAACCATTACTACCTGCATACCCAGACTAGCACCATACATTAGAGGGTAAGACTATTTAGAAAGCATCACAATTACTCCATGAATGTTCATGGTGCTGCTTTTACAGCGAAGAAGTTATTACAAGCCATGGTGTAAAAGCCTTTGTTAAACATTGTTAAGAATTAACAGACTGCAAAATCATGAACTCTTCTAAATCTTGACCTGATTGAGAACACTTATCTGTAGACTTATCTGCAGCACTCACCTGCAAATCCTCGTTTTTAAAACATCATAACACTTTCCTGCCACTCCGAATAAAGCTGTGATGACAGCTGGTTTTAGATCTCCCTATAAATATATGAGCATTAAGTCTTAAATTTAATGGCTTATAATTTTTGTCTATTACAAACTCGCCAATGGGATTGCTTCATAGATGAACAATCACTTGAAGGGAGTGTGATGAATATTGGAGTATGGTGTCAAAAAGATTCAGTTTTCACACCTTAAAATTACTAGTACCTATAATATCCTTATTTCAAGAACATTTGCTGCACCAGGCCAATGGATCCTCCCCAGGAAAGATTCAGCCGTGGGGAAAAAAAAGGAACACTGGTGTGGAATCATTACACCTGGACCTAAACCCCAAGTCTCTCTGACAAGATGTTCCACAGACCATCCAGCATCTCCAGACTAGTTCTCAGACAAACGGATGGTAATCCCAACTTCAAAGGACTGTGGTGAGATTCAACAATGCATGTCCAAGCATGGCTGACCTTATCCCCTCAGCCCCTGTGCAGAGACTAGTAGACAGTGATCTTCTGGGGTGGTGTTCTGCACCAGGACATAGTGTTTGGGAAGCACAGCAAGGACTGGCTGGATCTGCACCATGCTCCTCAGCTTATATCTTGTGTGGGTGCAACCTACCGAGCGTTACAGTGCTGGCCAATTTCTTAGGCTCTTGGGATACATTTCTTAAAAGAGTTCTAGATACTCTAGGAGTAAAAGGGCTGGTTTACG